TGATGTGGGAGATTATGGTTTTCACCTTCAATGATGGATCGTTGCTGACGAGTGGTAGGATTTCTTGACATATGAGATCATAATTTAGTTTCCGATGATCCTGTGATTGAGTAGAACTGACATACGTATGGGTGGACATAAAACCTATCACCCAACAATCACCTCTTAATTTGTATGATGCAATGAGCTTGAACATACAATCTGGGTGGACACGCTTGATCTTGTACCTTTCTGGATTTACACGGTCCACCTTAAAATCGACCGAGTTGAGCATGTGAAATTTTTTGATGGCTCAGATACATTCTTCTCTATTATGAAATTAGTCTTTCTCTTTTAGGTTTTCATACGACTGCATATACGAATTGAAAAATAAATCAGAAGACGGTTTATCTTCGCCCATGTTGAAGTTTGTCATGTGCGGAGGTGGTGTATAGAAATTGTTTGAAGGAATACCAGGTATCCCATCGTCTTCGGAATCATCGTTGACCATGTCATCAAACTCCAACTCGCCATCTTCTTCTTCTTCATCAACGGCATCTACTTCTGCTTGTTCGATCTCCAGAGGATCAACCACTTGTAACAGCTGAGGCTCTCACACCATAATGTACAACTCAATAGAGTCGTACCCAGAATACTCATTACTGGAAAACATACTCTGAAGGTCCTCGTCATCTTGAACCTCAACCTTATAAAATATTATTTGGTTGTTATAAAAAAAACCAGATTCTGATAAAATATTTGTTTCACGGGACCTCGTCCAAGTTTGGCCTCCAATCATTTTTTGAAATACAAGAAATTGGCTTTCCTGTTTAAATAAAATCAAATGTTCTCATTGTCTCTAAACAAAAACCCAGAGGTGGGACAAATGTATGTCTCACCATTGAAATGTGCATTGATCACATATTGGGGTGCAAAGGCCATTGTGTATGACTGTTTGAAGGTTTGAAGGTTTGAAGTATTTGAGTTAATTGCTTGAAAAAATTTTAATGTTCTAGTGTTTGAATGATTAAGTGTAAGAGTGTTTTGATAAATGTAAGATTAAATAAGTTGTACTGAATTTGAATAAACCAACAGTAAGAAACATCTAAGAAGCCTCCCTTCACGTCCAATCGTGTTACATGCATGCAGAGATGTCTTCTCCAAGGCTGTCACCTAGCCTGCACCTACACTGCAACCCATGCCACCTCTTATTCACCAACAAGGATGGCGACACCTTTCATTTTTGTACTATTTCACCAAGTTCAATGTCGCCTCCCTTCACATCCAATCGTGTTACATGCATGCAGAGATGCCTCCTCCAAGGTTGTCACCTAGCCTGCACCTACACTGCAACCCATGCCACCTATTATTCGCCAACAGGGATGCCGACACCTTTCATTTTTATACTCTTTCGCCAAGTCCAATGTCGCCTCCCTTTACGTCCAATCGTGTTACATGCATGTAGAGATGCCTTGTCCAAGGCTGTCACCTAGCCTGTACCTACACTGCAACCCATGCCACCTCTTATTCGCCAACAGGGATGGCGACACCTTTCATTTTTGTACTCTTTTGCCAAGTCTAATGGCGCCTCCCTTCACGTCCAATCGTGTTACATGCATGCAGAGAATCCTTCCCCAATGCTGCCACGTAGCCTGCATCTACACTGCAAGAGTGACACTTATCATGCATGCATGCATCCATCTACCACCTCACTTACTCTATGATAAAATTTTGTCTATAAATACAGAGCCTCACATACTTCTATTGCATCCACAATCGTCTCACTCTCTGCTACAAACTCTTTTATAATCTCATACAATTTCAAACTCTTTCATAATCTCAGACATTTTCAACAGTGTCTCTTCTCACAATGGGCGATTCTCACAGAGGCACAAGGGACAACATTGCAGCGTTTGTAAGTTTCTTGTATACTTATACATTTTTCATACTTCTATTAATGCTTTATTCATCTTACCTACTCTTACACTTTTTACATTATTAACTTACGATACTAAAAGATTCAGAATCCGGTCACACAATCACCTTACTCCTGACCCGTTGATCGTACCCTATCTCGAATACGCAGGTTTCAAAAACGTTATAAATATCTCCAACTGCACGATTGATTCAAAGTTCATAATTGCAATGTTAGAAAGGTGGAGACCAGAGACCCATACATTTCATCTACCAATAGGTGAATGTACCGTCACACTAGAGGACGTGTATATGTTATTGGGTCTCTCTGTCGACGGTAAGGCGGTTAACGGGTCGGTTCAACAACCCAATTCTCTGTGTGAAGAATTATTGGGCAGAGATATGGTTGAAGGTGGTAGTGCGAAAGGTCAGGGTATACTACTTACTGAGCTAAAAAATCATTATGCGACTCTGGAATTGAACGAAAATTCCTCCGAGCTAGCTAAGGTAATAAAAGCTAAAAGTTATATAATGATACTATTTGGAACCTTTTCATTTCCCGAAAGTATGGGAAATAGTGTAAATTTTATGTATTTAAATTTACTTAGAGACTTCGAAAAAACTAGAAAGTATAGTTGGGGTTTTGCTGTTTTAGCCCATCTATACAGTTCCTTGTGTAAAAATGCAATCAAGGAAAAATGTACATTTTATGGCTGCACTTTTTTACTTCAAGCCTGGGGTTGGTGGAGGATGGAGTCCCTAAACCCCGTCAACAACAACACATTCGTTTTCCCATACGCAATAAAGTAAGTCATCAACTTATATCATTTATTACTATTCATCTCTTCACCAGATATATGATGAAAATAAAATATTTTTTAATTCCTTTAGGTACTGCGTGAGGGGTATGGATTACAGAAATAATCCAAGATTCAATGTCGCTCTATACCGCAGTTTATTGGATCACCTTGGTCCGGATGATGTACGTCATACCTTTCAACTTTTCTACTTTTAAATTATTTATTTATTACGTTTTCATTAAGCTGATTTAATTTTATCCGCAGTTTGTCTGGAGACTATATTTGGGTTTGGACCATGAACCAAACCCCGAGGATGCAGCAATTTGGAGCGCAAAGACTGCAATCATACGGTTCAATATTGTGGAGATGCACCACAGCGACCGTGTCAAGATGCAGTTTAGAATGCATCAAGAGATACCCGACGATCCGACTTGTTTGTCCCCGTGGCATCTCAAAAGGGTCGACGTCCAATGGGGTCTTACCAACTGGAAAGATTTTGCTCCAGAATGGTGTAAGATGTGGCAGAGGCGTCACTGACATGTCTTGCAATTCCCATTTTTCCTCAACCATGGTAATATGCGACACACGGATCAGTATTTAGCTTGGTATAAATCGGTTAGTTCCCCAGAAACGCACGTGTCTCATCCAAGGTATTTGATTGACCCACAAACACAATAGGCACAAACCTCATTTCCCCAACAACAAACCCAACACACATCAACCTCCCACCAACCCCCTCGACGAAACAAAACCACAAACACCCAACCACAGTCACCACCACAATACAATTACACCCACATGCCCCACAACCAACCACAATCACCACCTCAGTACCAATACCCCCATATGCCTCACATCTAACCACAATTTCAATCACAATACCAATACACCCGCATACCCCATACACAATTTCAGTCTTCTACATATCCCAATATGGGCCCCTCAACATCCAAACTTAACCCTGATCTGGGATTCTCCGAAGATTATGAACCAATCGACCCAACTTACCATCAACCACAACATCACCAAAGCACCCAACATTCCTAATACCAAACACCCTAAGATCCATTTCCTTTCTACCTCCCGTACTCAGACGATCAGTGCTACAGATCAACCATGGAACCCCATCCACCACCAACACGACCAAACTTTGAGGGTATGAACAACCGACTGTACCAAAACGGATCTTCTAGATATGGAGATCTGACTGATTTCATGGATCCGGAACGCATTGAATTCGTTGGACCATCGACCCTGCCACAACAGGAAACGCGAAGAAACCTAGCACGGGAAAGACGAGGACGGGGATGCGGAACCGGGGGTCATTACCGAGTTCCGGGAGATCACTGATTAATCTGTATTTTTTTATGTAACTCTTATGTGTGTAATTATATTGTGTAAATAAAAAGTCAATTCTGTTGATCCTATATCGTTTACGTAACGCATCGCATTTAAAATAAAAAACGCGAAAAATCGCCTCCCAATTGCACTAAGGCGCCATCTCACTTGGCTTAGGGCAAGCCTTTCACACCTAGGCGCCAAGTGAGATGGCGCCTCCCCTTTAAAATAAGGTGTAGGCGCCAACTGGATTGGCTCCTTCCTTGTGGGATTTTCTGAAACATGGTTATTTGCGTAATTTTCTCCGAAACATGATTATTTGTGAAATTTTTTTTTAATACCTAGTTATTTCTAAAAAAAATTCTACATCTATTTAACTCATCTAACACATATATTATTATATTAAGAATTTTAATAGCCTTTCAAAAAAATTAATATTACCATAAAAGTAAAATAAAAATAAATAGTACTGTAATAACGGTTGAAATGTTATTTCAAACAATGCTTTAATTGAAAAGAAAAAGAAAATTTCAAAGTCAAAAATCAAGTTGCTGTGTTAATTCCAAGATTTTTGAATAAGAGAGGTGTGACAATTTTAATAGTAATATACATTAAAAAAATAGAAATTAAATTAAATGCAGCTTGTTCAAGAAAAAGATAGGTTTATTTAGAAATATAGCTCTTAAGCCAAGAAGAAGAGCAGAATAGTTTAGATTATAAGAATAGGAGACATGGAAACACCTCCCACGTTCTCCTCATATCTTAACTTGTTTCTTTATGATTCTCTCTTTCTCTGTCTTTTTCATCCTTTCCCTACCTATATATGTACAAAATATTTTCATATATTTATTTACATATCCAACAAAAATAATTAAATAAATTTATATATATAGTCCTCTTGTGAACCTCCATAAGTACTCTTTTGTGTTACCTTGATTCTATTCAAGTTCAGCAAGTTTTTCTATGATCATGGTAATTTGATGAATTCTCTTTCTTTTTCTATCAAAATTCTTATATATTGATAAACTTTTATATATACTTTTGGTTAAAATTATGATATAATTTGGTTTTGTTAATTATAGGGATATCAAAAGCCTGCATGGTTGGAAGCTCTTTATACAGAAAAGTTCTTTGTTGGTTGTTCTTATCATGAAAATGCAAAAAAGAATGAGAAGAATGTTTGTTGCTTAGATTGTTGCACAAGTATTTGTCCTCACTGTTTGCCGTCTCATCGCTTCCACCGCCTTCTTCAAGTTCGTCGTTATGTTTATCATGATGTTGTTAGATTGGAAGATCTTCAGAAACTAATCGATTGCTCTAATGTTCAGGTATATAATTGTGTCAGAAAGAGTGTTGCTAGCGTTTCTCGATTAATTGAATTATAATTCAATATTTCTTCGTCATAACATGAAATTCGATATGATTGAAAAAAGTTTTGAATTATGTAAACTATAGGCCTATACTATCAATAGTGCTAAAGTGGTTTTCATCAAGAAGAGACCTCAAAATCGTCAATTCAAAGGATCGGGAAACTATTGTACTTCATGCGATAGAAGCCTTCAAGAACCTTTTATTCATTGTTCTCTTGGATGCAAGGTACATATATTAATTATATACGTTAAACAAACTAAAATCACTCTTATCTTATAAAAAGCTTTATGTATAGTTAGAATTATGGATTAATGAAACGGATTAATTGTTCCTTTATGCTCAATGATTACAGATAAATTGAACATATAATTTGATATATTTTAACCATATACCAATGTTTAAAAATTTTAGGGTTTAAGGTCATTGATACTCTTATTTTAACCATAAAACAAATACATGAATTATAAAAATTGATATATAGTAATTGAACAGACTTCATATAGTTTATAATACTCACACATTTTGTCTGCAAAGGTTTTAAAAAAGATGTGTTATTAGAAAAAACAACTGCGACAAAACGGTATTGAGAGGTGTTAATACTGATACTGTTATGAATTGTGGTTAATTTACGTCACACCTGCCGCAATCGATATCGCAACCCGACCATAATGCGAGCACCACCCTTATATAAAACCTGCTTATCAATCACTTGCCCTAGATCCTTCTAGTTGAATTATGTATATTTAAATAAGTGATAATTAGGATAGAAGAAAATTATTTAGTTTAACGTTGGAACATGTTTTGATGATATATTTGTAGGTGGATTTTGTGCTGAAACACTACAGGGATCTTTCACCCTACTTAAGGACATGCCACATCCTACAATTGAGTCCAGATTATCTCATTCCACAAGAAATGGGAGAAGAAGAGATAACAAGATCAACAATTGTGGATTGTGATGAACAAATGAGTTCATATTCAGGATCATCATCATCAGGGTCAGAAAATATGAGCATTGCATGCACAGAAATTGTAAGGAAAAGAAGAAGTGGATGGACAAGTATGTGTGCAAAATTCATGGCCAATAATAATATCAATAAAGTTTCTGATGAAGACATGGCTTCAAGTATGATTAGTAGAAGAAAAGGAATCCCTCATAGATCTCCTCTATGTTAGTGTTAATTAGCTACCTTAATCAATAAAATTAATTAAGCTAATTAAGGTTCCACCAACAAAGAGGTAAAAGAACATTTACTAGTTGGATATTTACATTTTTTTTTAATTAGTTCTGGGACATGATGTTTTGACTGAAGTGAATTGTTCAAAGTTGTTACTTTCTATCTCGAAATTGAAGTTTTTTTTTTGTTTAATTAATCACTTGGTCGGGGGTTTTGTCTTAATGGTATCACGTGATTCCCAATTCCAAGTTATGGTGTGTGCATTTATTTAAGTAATTTCATATTATTATGGTGATTATAATAATTGTTGTTAGTACAACTATCCTAGTGAAGAATCCTGCTTTTGACTAACGAGAATAAATCACGAAAAATAATATAATACTATTGTAGGTGTTATTTTAAGACAACAGTCATTTTATACTTCAATATCGCAAAACAGGTTAAGAACTTCATAATATAGTTTTTTAAATAAATCATTTCAGTTTATATATATATATATATATATATATATATATATATATATATATATATATATATATATATATATATATATATATATATATATATATATATATATATATATATATATATATATATATATATATAAAAGTTGAGATCAAATGTCAAACTTAATAACATGACACGTTTGAAAACTTTTTTGCCGCCTAATCGTATAATAAAATTCACTGTTAGATTAAAAATTATTATCATATAGATGATGTCTAAAAAATTTAACAACAATTGAAAATCATTTGACATTTAACATGATGTATAAAAACTAACGTCTTACCAAACTTCATCCAAACGATTAATTTTGATTTTTCTCTTTTACACATCAAATGATTTTCGATTGTTGAGAAATTTTATAGACACGATCTATATGATAATAACTTTTAATCCAACGGTGAATTTGGTTATATGTATATGCAACAAAGAGTTATCGGATGTGTTATGTTACTAAGTTTGACACATTGATGTCATTTGATTCTGACCCTATAGCATGACCAGTTACTTGAGTAACAAGTCACAACATCAAGTCTTTATGAGTAATTGATATTATTGTTAACTTGCTATGATAGGTTGATGACTGTTTGTTTGAGTTAGTTACAAGCTCATATAACTATATATATTATGATGTAACTAACTTCTCCATTAATGAAAAATCTATTATTCTCTCATAGCTGCATTATCTTCTTCTTCTTCAATAAGTATTTTTATCTTCTTTTTTTGCAACTGTTATAACTTGAAGATTGTATTAGAGCTCTTCGGAGCTTTACTGTGCATTTTTGTTCATCATGGTACACAACAATGGCAATATTGTGATTCCCAATGCAAATCTTGTAAATCCTCTTCCTCCTGATCCATCTCAGACTCTTGACAATGTGTACTACGTTCATTCCTCTGATGGGCCTTTCTCAGTCGTTGTTAATCCAGTTATGACTCACTCAAACTATCATGTTTGAGCTCAATCCATGAGGCGTGCTCTTGGTAGCAAGAACAAATTCAAACTCGTTGATGGAACAATAACTATTACTACTGAATTTAATCATAACTTTAGAGCATGGAGTGGATGTAACATGCTTGTTTATTCTTGGATCATGAATTCGATTGAAGAATCTATTGCTCATAGCATCGTTTTTCTCGATAATGCTATTAATATATGGCAAGAACTAAAAGAACAATTTTCTCAATGTGACTTCATTCGAATGAATCTCTGAACTTCAGTGTGAAATTTTTAGTTTGAAACAAGATTCAAGATTTATTTCTGAGTTTTTCACCGCTCTCAAGATTCTATGGGAAGAACTTAAAGCATACTTATCCAGGCTTTTGTGTGCTTGTCCATATTGATGTTTCTAAGCTAATGGTGTAAGCAATGTCAAACATCATCATGATATTACTCGTTCTATTCGATTCCTGGCAGGTCTCATTGACCAATTTAATATGGTAATGCATTCTCGAATTTGTTTGATGAATCCTCTACCACCTATTAATGACATATTTTCTATGGTGCTTTAACAAGAAAGATAACATGGTGTCATGCAGATTGATGAGGCCAATGTTCTTGTCAATGCTAGTGATGATAGAAAAAAGGGAAAGGTCGTGCCTTTGGTGGATGTTCATCTTCTTTTAGTGTAACGCCCGTAATTTAATTAATTATTTAATTAAATTATTTTTGGAATATTTATGAAGATGTGTTATAATTAATTAGATTTATTTTATTAAGTGGAGAAATAATATTAGAGATATAATATTATATGGTGAAATAATATTAGAAGTGTAATATTATTTAATGTGGGCTATTTTGAAGAAATAAAAGTAATAAGGGGGTGTGTTGGTTTTAAGCCCAATAAGGAATAATAGAATAATATGGTTATTTTATCATTTGTTAGAAGGAATAGAAAGAAAGAAGCAGTAGAAAGAAATAAGGATTTGGAAGAGAACGTGCAAGCTGCTAGAGAAGTGGAAAATGGCAAGCACGAGAATTCAACCGGAATTGTAGAGCGACCTTCAATCTAAGGTAAGGATGGGGTTCTAACTCTATAATTGGGTTTATGATGATTGTTATGTGGGATTAGTGATGATTGTTGTCTTGTTCTTGAATTGGATGTATATGATGATGTATGATGAAGATTTGATGAATTTTAGATGGATATTGATGTCTTGATGGTGTTAAATGCTGTAAGATTATAGGGTGATTATAGGTGATGCATTGACATGATTATAATAAGTTTTAGGGTTTTAGTTATGGAACCATAGTGAGATGTTGTGATGAAAACATAAAATATAGCAGTAATGTAAAAGCAGAATTTGGTAAATTGATAACAGGCGCTACTGTATTAGAATTAATGAATTAATTTGGGTAATAGAATTTATCATACTGTTCGTAGTTAGATTGTTATCAGGCGAAGAATTAGAACAATAGGATGAATAGAAGATAAAAATCCTGAAGTCGGACGTAAGTTATTAGAAGTTGAGTTGAATCATTCGAAAGTAGCAGCTCGGATGTTAGAAGTTGCGCTAGTCAGAAGATGGCATTAGTCAGAAGATGTGGCTAGTCAGAGGTTGTATTAATCAGAAGATGAGATGATCAGAAGTTGTGTCTGGTCAGAGGTTGAGTAGTCAGAAGATGAGATGATCAGAAGTTGTATTTGGTCAGAGATTGAGTAGTCAGAAGCTGAGATGATCAGAAGTTGTATTTGGTCAGAAGATGGGGACTAGTCAGAGGTTGCATTAGTCAGAAGTTATAGTAGTCAGAAGATCGTGTCACCCAGGGGTTGCATTATTAGAAGATGTATTAATAGAAGTTGGGTTGGTTAGGAGTTGTATTGTTAGAAGTGTTCTAGTCAGAAGTTACGTTTGACGTTAAGATTGGTTTTATACAGAACGGTGAAGTTAGATGCTTAGAAGCTGTTGTTTGAACCATAACAGTAGGAAAGTGACGGTCTTGACTTTAGAGTTGCAGAATGACAGTGTTGTTTTACTGTGGATATTAAAATGTTGTTGAGTTATAAATGAGAAGTTATTAATAAATAAATGATGTTTGATGAATTATTTTGATTATTTGAGATGTTTTTGAGATGATGATTTAAGATGTTTTTGAGATGATGATTTAAGATGTTTTTGAGATGATGATTTAAGATGTTTTGAGATGATTATTTGAGATGTTTTGAGATGATTATTTGAGATGTTTTGAGATGATTTGAGATGATGTTAACTTGGGTGTTATCATTACATTCATGGTTGTGTCGCATAAATTGCATTTTTGAGATGGAGCTTATGCCCGTTGAGATGGCCTGGATTGGCAAATTTTGAGATGAAGACTATGCCTTGTTGATGCCTCTATTAATTGGCAAATTTTTGAGATGCGAGTTCTGCTCCAATGGTACCACATGCATTTGCATAGTATTGAGTCGCATTATATGATTGCATAAAGAAGCGTATTTTGGATGTTGATGAATGCGTATATACGTTGTAATTATTGTTGATTATGAGATGAGAAGTGGTGATGTTATTGATCTAATTTAATATATTAATTATCATGCACTTTATTATATTGTTAGATATCTCACTCCTTCTGTTTGAATGTTGCCCCTATGTTGGTAACGTGCAGGTAACCTTCAATAGTTCGAGTCGGTGTCATTGCTCTGATATGTAACACTTGGGGGAATGAATGTTTGCTGATTTTTGATCGTTGAATTTCAGTTGTTGAATTTTAAATTGATTATTATTAAATATGAGATGTTTCGAAGTTGCTGTTTTGTTAGAGAATGTTATTAAGAATTCTGTTGCGTAGATGTTGATTTATTTGATTAAAGATGTTATGTTGATGGTTCATCCGATGTTTGAAAAAGTGTTATATATCCATGATGAATGCAATGAATCTGTTAGAAGAATTTGTGACGTCCCAATTCATTTGTATGATTGAAATTTTATAACTCTGATTTATCTTGCATAATTACTTGGGGTAGAATTGGGGTAAGGATTGCTCACACAGTGGTAAAATTGGCCACACTATTGATACTTTCTATATGAAACATGGTTTTCCTCCAAATTGTGTTAAATCATCTTTAGCCAATAATGTATCTCATGAACATATAGAAGCTTTAGATGATGTTGATGATTCTAAAAGCACTTAAGAAATTGATTCTTATAGTTTTATCAAAGATCAATATGAACATTTGGTAAGTTTGCTCCAGAACAATAGCAAAATGAATGTTGTTAGCCACATATCTCAGGTATTACCTAAGTGACTTATTCCTTGAATCAAACTTTGTTAGGATTTTAGATATTAGATTCAGATGCAAGTGATCATATATGTTCTTCTCTAATGTACCTTACACATTACAAGAAAATTATTCACATTCATGTGAAGATGACTAATGGTCATGTTTCCTTAAACACGTATGCTAGGATTGTCCAATTCTCTCCTGGTTTAGTAATATCATAAGTCTTGTTTTTAGCACATTTCAATTTCAACTTACTATCTTTACCAAAACT